TTTTCTTCAATATGTGTATTGTTTAAAAAGACATGGGGTGCTAAAATCCAACATTTAGAGTTTAATACAGGGAAAGTGTTTATATGCAACTGTATCGCTAGAAGACAGGTTCAACTTGTGCTACCTGTCTCTTCCCCAATTTATAAAGATGTATGAAGAAGCTCTCTTTTTATAACAGTTATCGAAACTTTGTATGTCAAAATATCTATACAACTTTGCCCAATAGATGCAATTTATTTTTCAGTTTGTCAGGTCTCTTGAGGCAAATCACTTTTTGGTAAAAACAGACATCTCAATAGATGGGTGAATCATTTGAAGTAGTGTTTAATTAGATCGAAACATAGACAACCTGCAGACAATTTTTCTTCAATGATTCATTAGTTTGTCTTATTTAGATGATAGGCAGGAATTACATTTTCTGCTATTTTTTCTTTGTTTTTAAGTACTTGTGTGCAATTAATATGAGACATTTCAATCTGAATATTTTGAGCATTTCTAGATCAGCAAAATAATAAAGTATATCAATTGATTTTAATTAAGGTAATGAAATGATAATAATTCATTTAGAAACATAAACGTCTAGGAACAGTGCCGGATCTTAAATTTTCCTTCATAAACGTAGATTTCCATTCATCTTAGAAATTAAATTTTGTTTTTGCTCTCTGAGCATTTTAAATTCCTGGATAAATATAATGTATTGTTTCAAAATATTTATAAACAATTTGGTGAGACTGTATTTATAGATTAGTCTTTAAATTAATCAATATCAGATGCCTTGTTATATAAGATTAATGATAGTTTAATAGAAACTTATTTTAGACACATAAGTAATGACTACATTATAAGAATGTCCTAAGTCAAATAAATGGGTCATCAAAAATGTAAAGAGAATATGAAAAAAATGAGTGTTTCCAAATTTATTCCCATAAATGACAAATAAATAAATTATATTCCCACAATGATCATTTTCATTCAACATTTTTGAAGGAATGAATTATTGTTGGGCACACAGTTTAGCCAACATCTTATCCTTATTGGGAAAGTCACAGAGCTGGATTGGACAGATTGGAGGCCAGGCCCACACTGGCCAGATGCACACACCTGTATCTTCCTACCACAATTAGATTGAGGCAAGCCTCAGCTGGAAAGGTCAGAGTACCTCGATTATCTAATTTGTATGAATTTTACACTCACGATTCCAACATTAAAGTCATGTAAAAATAACCTGAACATTTGTCTAATCTGTATATTGCCACGAAACACCAGAAATCAGACTCCACGGGAGAAAAAAACGGTCCTATGCATTTAACCACCACCTCCCTGGTCTGCTTTGTTATGCTTTCCAAGAAAACTTATTTTCTTAATCTCAGGGTAGATCTGAGAGTTTCATGGCTGTGCCAGTGGTGTGTTACTGTGATTTCACTCAGCGCGACGTCTATAAAATCTTTCCTTGAGATTCGAGGATGCTGAGTCTGTGGTTTATGGAGATTAGCAACACAAGGAGCACCTTTGTTGGCCAGGAAGGAGGTGACCATTTACGGCCATGGCACATAGAAGCTCAGTCATTTTACAATGATAATAATATATAACACAAATTAAATCCTTAAAATTTGTCAGCACCATGTTAAGTGTTTACACAGACCCAGTCATTCAGTTTGCATAACAGCCCTCTAAGTGTATACCACACACACACACACACACACACTCTCACACACTCAAGATTTTAAATATTATTCTGGCTCTAGATAATTAACGATATAAATCATGTTTCAAACATGTAATTTGAGGTAAATAACTGAAATATTCTTAGGAGTGTTTTAATCACTCATTTAGGTGATGATATGCTTAATTGTATGTGTCAACTTGGCTGCACCATGGGCCCCAGTTATTTGGTCTCATATTATTCTGGATGTTTCTGTGGAGGTGTTTTATGGATGAAATTAACATTTCAATAGGTAGACTTGAAGGAAAGCAGATTACCTTCCATAATGGATATGACGTGGGTCGGCCTCGTAGAGTCAGGTGGTCTCAACAGAACAAAGAATTAAGACAAAGACTGGCCTCCTGTCAGTAAGAAGGACTTCTGCCAACAGACTCTCTTCAGACTCCAACTTCAATACTTCCCTAGGTCTCTAGCGTACTCTGCAGAGTTTACCTTTTCCAACCATCCTCAATCCCGTGAACCAGTCAATCCCTCAAAATAAATCCCTCACTACACACACACAAACACAACATAAACACACACAAGACACACACACATACACACACATCCTGTTGGTTCTGCTTTTCTGGAGATCCCTAACTAATACAAATATTGAGGATATAATTGTAATAATTTTTAGTATTATATGTTATCATTTAAGAAGTTTTTCATTACTTGCATGAGTAAAACTTCACTTAATCTTTGCAACAATATTTAGGGAATGCAAGAAAGAATATATTTAATCATATTTTATAAACAAGGAAACTGTAGCTAAGAAAGGATACATAAAATACCTGCATTCACAAGTTAACAAGAGGTATTGCTGGATTTGAGTTTAGGTTTTGTGACTACAGATATGTGCAGTATATTTTCAATATATGAACCTACAATAGTAACACAATTATTTGCATAAGATGAAATATTCTTTTGAATATGAAAATCGGTATAAATTATAACACAAAAGTGCTTCACTACCTTCCTTTCACAGGTTAAATAATGCATTTGCTGTTATTTGTTAGCCAGGCTCAAGACTTTTTCTAGTTCTTCCAACATTTGAGGATTCAGGAGTGAAGATAGGGTAAACCTGATGACCTCAATGTCATTTGTCTGAATATGTTTCCTTGATGTTGAACATGGAGGAATTTCCAAAGCAAAGCGCTTCCAGAAACATCTCTTTGTAACGCTTTCTTAACTGTGATTTCCTAATCACTATGCAGACGATTTCACTGCCTAATTAAAGGACTGGTGCAGTGATGAAGATAAAGAATACAGAGCAGGGCCGCAAGCTAATCTACAAGTGAAACACAGGAGCTACTTGTCAAGAGTAAGGGCATATTTTATCGACAGCTGTGTCCAATAAGAATGAGTTATGCAGTAAATATTTAATATTAATGTATTTCTGCTATGATTGTTACCTCCTTCCTTATCTCTCACTGTACTCAGTAAAATAATTCATAGTTATTCATTTCAATAAATTCCATTTTAAATGGCAGAATTTTGGAAGAATAATATTCATTTTCAATGGAAAGTAACACATTGTAGTAACTGGCAATTTAAATTCAACGAAATAAATGTGTAGGTAATGAATTTAACTGTTCTGTTTATTGGTTACATTCTGTTTTGCATGTAAGAACTATATATCATATTCATTACATATATATGATAGAGAAAATTGACATAATTGTTATAATTGTGTAAGAAACTGATGGCTCAACATGCAAATGGAAATTTAGCAGTAGTTTACAAAGGGACTACACATATTGTGATATTAATAGAACAGAAGGCTACATTTTAAAGCCAGTTACTCTATCACTCCTAGCTCAGTAACATTGTCAATTACTAATTTTCCATCTATTAGAGAGAGAGAGAGAGAGAGAGAGAGAGAAAGAATGAGTGACAATAATAGGCTCTACCATGTGTAGTTTTAGTGAGTAGAAATAAGATGTATGCAGAACCAATGGAGCATACTAGGCTTTCAAGTAATGCTGTTCATCTCTCCCGTTATGGATAACATGATACCAGCCCCAAATTACCCAAGCCAAAGGAGAATAACAGTTATCATTTTAAACATATTGCTGAAATTTATCATCCAAATTTTCACACTTAGATTTATAATTTCAACGAAAACATGCTGTATTTCTAGTATTACCCAAAATGTCATAATAAATAATGTATGAGAACACAGGTACAAATGTATATATCTTCATCTATATCTACATATAAACTTATCTTTCTATCTATATGTCCCTCTGTGTGTGTGTGTGTATGAATAACATAATTTATACTTTTCCCTCAAAGAAAGTAAATTTTTTTTTAATTTGGCAAAAATTAAAAATAAAATATTTTAACATTCAACTAAATGACCTAGATCAACAAATAATTGAAAAATATAAAGTACGTTAATGATATTAAGTAAAAGAAGAATTTTTGAGAAGTAGCAGAAGGCTGTGGTGTACAAATGTATTATTAAAAATAAATTATTCCATTAAAATATGTCCCCAGAAGAAATAAGAGAAAAGTCGGGAATACTTTAGATAGACTTCAAGCTTCTTTCATCAAGTTCTATTTCAAGATTCTCTTTACTAAACTTTTACTACACTTACTAAGAGTCTTACTACACTTACATAGAGACTGAACACATTTAATTTGAATTTGGCCTTCCTTAGATCCCTAAACTAGGGATAATGTATAAAGAATAGAATGGCCTTGTTTTATTAGGATTGAGAGCTACTTGTAGGCACAAATTTACGTTAATCTTTAAAATATAGATATTACTATAATTTTAACAAAAATATCGAATTTTGTATTTTTCCACTGTCGGTTATATTTTGTCTCCGTAAGCTGTATAAACAAACTTACATGTACCCCGGAACTTAAAGTATAATAAAATAAAATAAAATAAAATAAAAACGCTAAAAATATAACCAGGAAAAACAAACACGGGTAGATTTTTTTCTTAAATTAACTATGGAAATTTTTTCAAGTTTCTTTGTTAACCGGAAGATGAAAAGTCGTAGGAAAATCTAACTTTAAAAAACTCCAGCACCCTGATGATTCGAGCAGTGTGATAACTCACGTTCTGCCGTTTTTTTTGGGTCTTTGGCACAGATTGCTTATGGTCCCCCTACAGTTGGTTTCCTCTGTCTTTTCACTAATATAATTGTAACAAGGCAGATGGTTGTCAGCTTCCCTTGAAGTTGGTTGTTATTAAGTTTGTGTTGATAGAATTGAGCAGAAGTGAAGGACATCACTTCTAGTCTGGGTGGGACTTAACATTTTCGTCTTGTTTTCTTCCAAGCTCTTTTCTACTTCCTGGAAGCTGGAACAATGGATGAACCAAATCTGAACCCAGTGGAGAAGGCGGCAATATCCTGGAATATGGCAGAGGGACAAGACAGATGAAACCTGGACCCTGAGTGATGATGTGCAACCGAGCCACCCCTACATCTTGGAGTGCTCACTTTTAGGCTATTTTAAGACAGACATAGAAATCCAAGGGCTTTAAAATAGTATATTTTGAAATGTCCTTGTTACGGCAGCTTTAGTTTGTTTCCTACGTGGTACAGGCATCCATAGAATATCACGGTGAGTGAAAATACCATGAGTAAAACGATAAATCTGCAGCATACAGCTGTGGAATTCTCCTGTGTTTTCAAGTTATTTTAAATATATCACAAAATAAAATATATTGTTTCCAGTCAATTTGTTATGCCAATATTTTAAACATTAAACTTTTTCTAAGGGTGGAACATATGCAGTTTAATTTTGAGAGATAAATGAGAAAGCTAGAAATGAAGCAACTTTCCTTTAAGTTATGCCCTTTATGTCCAACTTTCTTGGTTTTTAACACCAAATAGTTTCCCTGTTTGTGCCACTCCAGCTGTCTCTCAATGTAAAATCTAGCAACACATTCCTTAAATAGTTGAATGATAAATTTTAAGGTTATAAATAACCTTGGAGAATATTTTTGTTGTATATAATTAATTGCTAAAATTTTCTTTTATCTCTCTAAAAAAAAAAATCATGTAGTCACTCTGATCATTTCCAGAATTGGGAGGATTGCCCATTCATATAGTTTTTCATTTTACACTATTGAACTCTCACAAAGTCTTCCCTAAATTGGACTCTAATAAAACCCCACGTAATTCCTTTCTGCATTACTTTCTTGTTTTCCTTTTCTACTAAATCACGAAGATCTACTATATTTCAGTACAGAGACTTAAGTGTCTCTAAGTTTTTGAAAGTTATCCCAACATCCTGCCTTTTTACCTTTATTCTCAGGACACATATTTCAGACCACATGGCCCTTGCTTGCTAACTCCTTATATGAATTTTCATCACCACCTTATGATGCATATACTCTTTGCATCGTTATTTGATTATAAGAATATAAACACTATTTGTGTCCATAACAAGTTTTGTGAGTTCTTCAAAAGCACTGTTAGATAATAATATGCATCATTCTTCTGAGATTCTGCAATCCAAACTATTGAGTCTGTTTATTGGATGCCTGAAGGTAAATCAAATATAAATAGACATTATTAAATCCAAGAGAAATTTGAATTAAACCATTGTCCAGTATTAAGGATTGAGCATCTCGTCTGAATTCCTACCCCGCTTCCCTCCAACATCATCTCCCCTTCCAAAAATGCTATTTTCCTGGATTATCATGCTCCATCACTCCCAGGACCCAACACATCAGGAAACAAATTAGAGTATCTATATTTGTCCTTCCTAATAAGACTCCATGGGCACCTTCCATGTGCCAGATAGTTGTAGGCACCTGCAATACTTTTGTGAATAAACTGACCATGTTAACACTTGGAGTTAACATATTAGAGTGAATTTTAGCCTATTTGGAAGGACAGGTCAATATGATGATAACGCATAATACCCCACAACTTCTCTCTCATCAAGCCGTTCAGCTCTGCCCTGATCACATCCCATCTGATAGGTTTTAACTGTTAACTAAAATTGTATTTCTCCCCCTTTCTCTTGCTTACAAAGTTCCTAGAGGATTGCTCATTTCTGACTGATCCCCCAAATAGATCATATTTGGTGCTCTGTGAATAAACTCAGCTCTAGTCACTTCTATCATTTGAATTAAACTATGGGGTCAATTTGGAGGCCATTCTTGCATGGCATGCCTGTCCACATAGGGCCTGTCATTTCTGTTGTGTCCCCACCCTTGTCTACATTGATGAGTGGCTTCCTGTTTGGCTCCAGCTTCCTTGCATTATTAATACATTCCTGTAGTCATCATGTGTGACATTTGCTTTTAAATTACTGCACCACTTTAGCCCATTTCCACAGATCATTTTATCATATTGTTTTACGGAGTAGTCGCTACATAAATACCTATAAAATAAATTGACTCCACCCACTGCCATTTCAAAAACTCTCATATTCCATGTTTAGCAGAGACTGTGGTGTGTACCCTTGCTGCTAAGCCCAGGGTCTGACACTTTGCAGTTGCACTGCAAACTCTTTCAATTTTAAGCCTAAAAAAGCTTTCTCTGACTTGTGGTGGCCTGCAGTATGCTGTAAGGTAGGCTAGAATAGCAGGTAATTTTCCCTCCCCATGAAGAGTCTTCAACCAATGACAAATTTTGAAGTAAATTCATATCCCCCAACATCAAACATTCTTGTCCTTGGATAGGACAACTCTGAGCTGGGTTCTCTACTTTCTCCCAGGGACTGCCAATAAGCCTGAGCTCCATTTGCCCACAGTGGTGACCTGCTCATTAGCACATGTCACTTTAACTTTTATCCCTTACCAGAATTACTTCCTTACTCTATGACTAGTGTATTCTGGTATCACCACCCAAATAAGTTACAGTAAGTCCCCACTAAAGGTATCTCATGGGGTCTTGGAAACTGACTTTAAGTGAAATTATGTATAATGAAACCAAATTTACAACATAGGCTAATTGATATAAATAAGAGTTAAGTTCCTATGGCATATTTCTGGTCATAAAAAGATCAATAACTTCTTTAAACAGTCCCCACATACTTTTAACATTAAACATTGAAATAAATGTGAACTATATACACATTTAAGAATGATTAATAACAAGTGAGATGATTGTTTGACGGGTTGTTCCATTTCAGGATCACAAATGGCAAGAGCCTCTCCTAGGAGCTCAGAGTGCAAGGTGGAAGACAGCTCTGGACAGGACACCATCCCATCACAGGGCACACTCTACACACCCACACTCAGTCACACTGGGGGTTTAGACACAACGGTTCTCCTAATGTGAGCATCTTCACTATGGGGGAGGGAACGAGAGTACCTGGAGAAAACCCATGCAGACACAGGGAGAACATGCAGACTCAACACAGACAGTGGTCTCAGCCAGGAATCCATCATATTTTTCCTGCCTCAATGTTAGAACAGAAACAGTGTCGAATTAAACTATCTTATTTGAGGACCTGCTATGCTTTCACACATATCTCTATATCAGGGTTGGCCTTTGAGGAGTACAAACAAGATAATAATTAAGATAAAATGATGTATGTGTGAATGTATTTGACCTGTCCCGTTATGTCTTTCGACATATTTCCAATATGGGAGAAAACACTATTTTAGCTCATAATTAGTAATTTCTTCAGAATACCAAATGAATCTTTCAAAAGTTAACAGAGTGGTCTTTTTTTTTTTTAATAGCCTTTTAATTTTTATGTTCTGTAGTGTTAGTATTTGCTTGACTTTCCTGATGTCTCTATCATTTCTCAAGGATATGGAATACATTTTCTGGTCATTGTAAATTTGATATAAACATCCAATTTACAGAGTAGCTTTGAGAGAAGTTATCAGCAAGAGCTATCATCCTTAAACTTCCAATATTTGAGGTGTTCCATATTATAATATGCAATGCATTTCTTATAATCAATTTAACAAGCATTTTTGATCTATTTCCTAGTATTTTACTAGGCAATAATTGATACAAAAAGAAGTTTAATAAATACAACATACCAAAACTTTAAATTTTAGATATAAATATTTTACAGCAATGACAATGACATATTAAATGACAAATTACATCACTTAAGGAGTAGTTTACAAATATCTACGTTCTTCATCATTTGTCGCTCAAGTTCAGTTTGTTTTTAACCAGCTAATTCTAGTTTCCCATGCTTTTTCATAATAATAAGACTCTATCTCTTGTAGTCAACATAGGGTAGTTGCTGTAAGAATTGAGATGGTGCATCTATCTAGGAGGAATTTTAACCCCAATATGTGTACTGTGACATTGTTTTCCACATAACATTTAGAGAATTCTAGAAAAGTATTGAAGCTGGTAGTTATTCACAGTCTTGGCTACAGGAGGCCAATTCTCTGCTGGATCGAAATGTTAAGTTAGTTCCAAGAAAGAATGTGAAAGGAAAGTAAAAGCAATTTCTCTTTCTTCTTAGCTCAAGGAATTCACATTTTCCAAGACTAGCTGAAAATATTTTCTATCAGCTGATACTATCCAATGGGGGAAAAATGTTGGGGGGAAAAAAAACTACAGGAAGGTAATAATTTTTTTGTTAAAATGTTTAAAACAGAATTGAATTAAATTTTATTTTTATTGGCAAACTGTTTATCTCCTAAACATATCTTTGCCTAAATATGTCTTCTTATCTATGCAATTAATCTGATATGATATCATATAGCATTAAAATCAAATGTTTTATATTGAAATTGAAACTATATGAATTGTGGTGACTGGCACGGGCATATAGCAGCCAAGCTAGAGTTGTGACTACCAGATGTGGACAAAAATGGCAACTACCTTATTCTTCCACTACAAAAAAGGCAAAGCATTTTTTTTTTAAATTTATTTATTATTATTATACTTTAAGTTGTAGTGTACATGTGCATAACGTGCAGGTGTGTTACATATGTATACTTGTGCCATGTTGGTGTGCTGCACCCATCAACTCATCATTTACATCAGGTATAACTCCCAGTGCAATCCCTCCCCCCTCCCCCCTCCCCATGATAGGCCCCTGTGTGTGATGTTCCCCTTCCTGAGTCCAAGTGATCTCATTGTTCAGTTCCCACCTATGAGTGAGAACATGCGGTGTTTGGTTTTCTGTTCTTGTGATAGTTTGCTAAGAATGATGGTTTCCAGCTGCATCCATGTCCCTACAAAGGATGCAAACTCATCCTTTTTGATGGCTGCATAGTATTCCATGGTGTATATGTGCCACATTTTCTTAATCCAATCTGTCACTGATGGACATTTGGGTTGATTCCAAGTCTTTGCTATTGTGAATAGTGCTGCAATAAACATACGTGTGCATGTGTCTTTATAGCAGCATAATTTATAATCCTTTGGGTATATACCCAGTAATGGGATGGCTGGGTCATATGGTACATCTAGTTCTAGATCCTTGAGGAATCGCCATACTGTTTTCCATAATGGTTGAACTAGTTTACAATCCCACCAACAGTGTAACAGTGTTCCTATTTCTCCACATCCTCTCCAGCACCTGTTGTTTCCTGACTTTTTAATGATCGCCATTCTAACAGGTGTGAGATGGTATCTCATTGTGGTTTTGATTTGCATTTCTCTGATGGCCAGTGATGATGAGCATTTTTTCATGTGTCTGTTGGCTGTATGAATGTCTTCTTTTGAGAAATGTCTGTTCATATCCTTTGCCCACTTTTGGATGGGGTTGTTTGTTTTTTTCTTGTAAATTTGTTTG